CTGATAATTTCATAATTTCAATTTATAATCTGCTCGGCTTTCGAAGCTGCAACTTCATTTGGATATAATTTATACGTTATGGATACATTAACATTTAAATTCTGAAATAACATTTATTGAATCAACAGAAACAATGCAATGTGAATCACAACAAAAACAGACAGGTGCAAAAATTTGGGCACCCCAATGGAATAATCACATCAGTATTTAGTAGAGCCACCTTTTGCTGAAATAACAGCCTGTGGACGCTTCTTATAGCCACTGATAAGTCCCTGAATTCTGACTGCAGGTATTCTGACTATTCTTCCTTGCAAAATGTCTGCCGGTTTGATGGCTGCCGAGAGTGGACAGCCTGCTTCAAGTCAGTCCATAGATGTTTGATGATATTCAAGTCTGGGGACTGCGATGGCCATTCTAGAACGTTGTATCTGTGCCTGACAGACAGACATGACACAGGCCTGTGCATGAATTCCTTGATAGATTTGGAGCAATGCTTTAGGTCATTGTCCTGCTGAAACAACTAACTTCAAGCGTAACTTCAACCTCTTGACTGATTCTTGAACATTGTTCTTAAGATAATTTATTGAGATGCACCTGTGTATATATATTCTTTTTTTAATATAACTATAAAATTCTCAAGATTCTCAAATATATGCCAATCAATCAGCCTGGCTAATATATCAGTATATGACTTTTGCTCAGTTATTCAGTAAAAGTTTATATTTTTCTTCTCAACAATGTATTGAATCTCTCTTTCACAGCCTCACCTTCATAAAATAGTCAATAGTTCCATGGAGCTGGCTCAATCTGCTAAGGAGCCCTATAATTACTTCCTGTTGCTGAGAGCCCTGTTCCGCTCTATAGGAGGGGGCAGCCATGACCTCTTGTACCAGGAGTTTCTGCCTTTGCTGCCTAATTTACTGCAAGGTGAGTGAGATCACGAACCATGGCAGTTCCTCAGAACAGTGGTTCTTAACTGGTGGCTTACAACCCAAAGTGGCTTTTAGGTCACTTCTAAAAGGGTCATGGTGTAGGTAAATGTAAGAACAAAATAGGTACAGCTAACCATATAATGCACTGTGGGGGTAGCAAAATAAATGAGTATTAACTCTTCTCATATTTTCTGTTGTTAACAACAAACCAAAAGCAGTTTTTTGTCACCATGAAAACACCAGCTTGAGTACTGATTATTTGTGGCATCTCTTAGGTTTGAACATGCTGCAGAGTGGACTCCATAAGCAGCACATGAAGGATCTGTTTGTGGAGCTGTGTCTCACTGTCCCTGTGCGACTGAGCTCTCTTTTGCCCTACCTGCCCATGCTCATGGACCCACTGGTGTCTGCACTCAACGGTTCCCAGACTTTGGTCAGCCAGGGCCTGCGCACACTGGAGCTATGTGTGGACAACCTGCAGCCTGACTTCCTCTATGACCACATCCAGCCAGTCCGAGCTGAACTGATGCAGGTACAACCTCTGACCTTTCACTTTACACCTGACTGAGGCCTGATGAATGGTTCAAATGTTTTCTTAATGCGTTTTTAAACAGGCGTTGTGGCGAACGCTCCGTAACCCTGCGGAGACCATCTCCCATGTTGCTTACCGGGTACTGGGCAAGTTTGGTGGAAGTAACCGAAAAATGCTGAAGGAGTCGCAGAAGCTGCAGTATGTGGTGACTGAGGTTCAAGGCCCCAGCATCAAGGCAGAGTTCACAGACTGCAAAGCCTCCATTCAGCTTCCCATGGAAAAGGTGATGCTTATATCATTCTCATAGAAGCAGCATCTTATTGTAATGTCAATGCATGATGTATGTAGTACCTTGTAGGACTGCACAATATATTGGAATAAAACCAATACTGCAGTATGATTAAATATATTCTCTGCAGTTTTCAGAATGAATGGTGGCACTGTGTTCATTTATGTGTGTACATTACATTACATTTGCACATATAAGTGAACACAGTGCCATTCTTCACTCTGAGACAAGCATTTATTTGGTAAAAAATGCTGAAATAAAAAGCTTTATAGTATAACGTATGAAAATTAAGAAATTAAAATGTAAATATTAGTTTTGTACTTAGTTGTACTATGAAGTAAAATTATGTTACAGTATAATTTATAATAGCATTATTACATTCTTTTTTTGGCATTCTTATTTCTTATTTTGTTTACTTGTAATAATCACAAAAAATTGATTATATTTATATATCACATTGAATGGGTAAAAAATGTTTGTTACCTATGAAATTTTTTTTTTTTTTCAAGTTTTGGGATTTAAAGAACATTTTTCAGCCTTTACAAATAATGAAAGTTAAAGTACGGTCAAGTTTTGAATTGTCAAAAAAGCACTAAAAAAGATCCATATGAGTATTCCAAAACCATACAACAGATCAAAATTCAAGTGTGGCTTCAGAGGACTTTTCAGCAGGATATCCAGTTTTACTTCATTTTAAGGAAAAGTGTGGCTAGTACATTCTTCAACATTTTGTCCTTTAAGCTTCAAATGACATTTTCATTTATGTTTCAGTTATTCCTTTAATAGGAAATTGCTATTCATAATTAATAGCTCCTTTTGAAAGATTCAGGTTGAGTTTGAGGTTGATTTGAGATGAATCCACTTGTGTTGGTTGTCTTTAAGGACTCTCAGAGAGCCATAAGAGGTATTTTTTATGTTTTTAAAAACAGTACCACTGCGGCATACGGAAACACCACTTTCTGGCTTGCTTGAGAGCATTCTCAACAAACAGTAACGAATCCACTTCCTTTTATATGTCAGTTTGCCGTCAATATGTGTGTGAAAGGGGGTGGGGAGGTTCAGGGGTTGAAAGAGGGATTCTCGTCATGTAATGAATCCTTGTCAAAGCGTAGTGTGTGTCTTCCCCAGGTAATTAAATAGATCATCAGGCTGTAAGCTGTGCTCATCTCTTCCCTCCTGCCCACCCCCCCTTTAATCAATCTCTCCCTGCTGTGCAGACGGGATTATTTACTCCAGCTAATGGCCCTTCCTGCTGCTCATCACTGCTTGGGAAAACACAAACTGTCATTTCTGTAATTGTGTTCACTCTGCAAAGATGAATGCTACCACCATTGCGCCATCACTGCTTAATTTCATTTGCATGCGCCCTGTGGTTGCCGCAGGCGGCAGCTGCTGTTTGCTGCCACCCGGAGTCCAGCGATGTGTTTGGATCGAGACATACAACAACTCATTCTGTCCCCCATAGGACCGGCCTTCACTCTCAAAGCATGCACACTTGTTTCAATATGTGTAAGTATTTCCAAGCGCAGTTTGATTTGGACACCAGCCGAACTGATCTGTCTTCCCGTTTAATATGAATCAGTTCTTCGTTCCTCCTCTCAAGGAACCCAGACGGTTGTAAATGAGATCTAATGCTGCGTACTTCAAGAACATTTTCTGTGAAACTTCAATATAGAAAGTCGGAGACAGATTGCGCTCCCGCCAGCACTGATGGTCTCTCTTGCTTGATTAATTGTGCCGATATTTATCTGATTTACAAGCATCAAGATATTAAACGAAGTTGAAACATTCAGACATGGTGTCAGAGTCCCTCACAAGGGGTTCCTATACTCATGTTCTCAACCCTGCTGAGGAGGAGCAATGTGAGAAAAAGTCATGCTTATATATGGAACACACACACATTTTTAGGGGCCAGGCCTCCACTGTAGAGGCCTTGAGCTTTTGAAAAATGACATAGTTTGTGTGGAAGGACCTCTTGGGAATAGAACATGTGTACAAGGCTATGTGACATTTATAATAATGTCTCTACAAGGCAGGAACAGCTCAGGACCCTGAGGAATTGTAAAACAGTGCTGTACTGCCAGGTACGACCCTCTTTTTCTCAGCCCGTGTGCCATTTATTTCACCTTTTTCAAGAGCACAAGTATTAAGAGCTGGTTTGGGCTTTTCTCTCTTGAAATGACCTGCGTGGCTGTCAGTGGTCACGCTGTCTTTGGCGATAATTAATTCAGACAGCCCTTTCTGTGGCGAACTGCCTTCTCTATCCTTGAATCTTACTAATTAGCTCATCTTCTCCCTCGACATGTCTTGCCACTTTAGCTTGTCTCTTTATAATTTAAGGGTTTAAGAGGCTTCTAATCACTGCAGAATGTTTTAATGTATGATGGGTCTTTAAGTGTCATCACAGAAAATTTCACTCAAGCGAGGGAGATCAGTGTCGTATAAATGTGCAACATAATTTGAATAAAAATGATGTGTGAGGCATGCAGTCATATGCAATTTTGTGATAAGTTTTTTATCACTTTAACTAGTCAAATCTTTGGGTTGTTAATGTGAGGCGTTAAGCTGTTTAATGTTATTTTTAATGCGCGCATTTGGTCATCTAACATTTAAATGTTGTTCTCCTTATGTATCTAGGCTATAGAGACTGCACTGGATTGCCTGAAGAGTGCCAATACTGAGCCGTATTACAGACGACAGGCCTGGGAGGTGATCAAATGCTTCCTGGTAGCCATGACCAGCCTGGAGGACAACAAGCATGCCCTTTACCAGCTTCTCGCCCATCCCAAGTAAGACAACCACTTAATGCATTGGCATTTGTGTAAAGAGCTATTCAAAATCTCAGGCCAATTATTTACATTTGGTGTGAAAGGCGTGACACTATCAGCTCAAGTGCTTGTTTTGGGATGCAACAAGTACTTAAGTATTCATAAAGGCTATAATTATCTGATAAAATGTTCACAACACAGCCTGAGCTACTGTGGGAAAAGTCCATGAAAAGTTATCCAAAACAAGAGAATGTTTTATTTATGTAATTGCTGTTGAGTTGAAAACGTATACCTGGTTTTAGTTTCCTTTTTTAGTAATTTTTAATTTAGTGATTTTAGCTTTAAATTTTAAAGCAGTTTTAAAATGTTTTCTTTTTTGCACATAATATACAGTACAGAATATTCTACATAGATGCATCCACAGGTTTTTTTTTTTTTAATGGACCTTAATTTATATAAATTAAAAATACAGAAAATAAATTTGGCTTTTTAAAAACCCTATTAATCTGGGGAATAATTGACATCATTCGTTTATCAAAATAGCCATTAGTTGCAGCCCCGTTCCTGTGTGCTCTTAGGCTGCACATGCCTCTGCATTTTTCATTGTTTTTTGCTATGTTTGCAGCTCCTCTGGGCTTCATCCAGCCTGGCCGCCACTGTCTACAGTGTTCAAAGGGCTAATTACTCGGAGCTGTTTCTACTGGCTGGGCAGGAGTGTCACATAACAGAGTCATTGATCTCCACGCTGAGGCTAATTGACTGTACTTTATCTGTTTACCCAAAAGCCAGTCATACGGGCCCCTTCTGAAATAACCGACTGCTAGTTATATGGAAAGAGAGCCGCTGCTGCTGTCAGATGTCTTGATTCACGAAATCTTCTCTCCCTCTTTCAGTGTGGCACAGTGCGCTGGTCATCATGAAAGGGGCCTTTTTCAGGAGACTGAATACCCTCTTAATATCGCAAATGCCAGGCCGGATAATTGAGTCCCATTCAAGAGGCAGCATTATGAATTTGAATTGATCTGACCGCTCTCTTCGGCTCAGCCCTCTCCCTAAGCCAAGCCTTTTAAATAGCGATAATGAAATGGAGCGATCCATCACCACTGCTACCGGCTTTGTCATTATAGAACACAAGCTTGAGGAAGGATAAAACACTCACTCCATCACTGTGCTGCTATCAGCTGGGATAAATAACCAAACATGAGACAAAATGTCAGCCAGACACAAAGCCAGACTCCCATGGGGCTCAGCTGTCCAAACACAAAAAGCCTTTTATACTCTGTAATCAAATCAAATCGCCTGATTGGGTTATTCAACCTCAGGCGCATGTAATGGAGCGAGTTCATGGATGCCATGCGAATTATGAGCTAAATCCCTTTGCTGGTTTTCAACAGCTTCACAGAGAAGTGGATCCCTAACGTGATCATCTCCCACCGGTACAAAGCCCAGGACACCCCAGCACGCAGGACGTTCGAGCAGGCCCTGACGGGGGCGTTCATGTCTGCGGTCATCAAGGATCTCAGGCCCAGCGCTCTGCCTTTCGTTGCCAGCTTGATCCGCCATTACACCATGGTGGCAGTGGCTCAGCAGTGCGGTGAGGAATCTTTCTGCCTCTGTGCTAATGTCATCTATATTGAAGTTCAGTCTTAACATAACTTGAAGTGTTCACCCAGGCAATGTTTACTGTTTATTAGGGGTGGAACGGTACACAGATGTCACGGTTCGGGGGTCACGGTTCGATACGATTTCGGTACAACAGGGAAAAAAAACCAAATCTACTATGTTCGGTTTCTTTTCATTTATTTTGAACAGACAGTAGTACAAATTAAAATAATTTCCACCTAGATGTGAAAATACTAAATATTATTACATTGTTATATATATAAAATCTGCAGTACATATAGGCCTATACATACAAGGAATAAATTCTTGAAATATATTTGATTTAGTTTACAGATAAACAAGGGAACAAAAGTGCGACACGTAACGTAGCCTATATACGCTGAGTTTCAGTTCATTTTTGTGACAGGCTTAATTTGTTCACAGAAAGGAAACTCAAATGGCAGAAAGCGACATTACAAAAGCACAATGTTTTGTTTTCATTGTGAGTGTACACAAATAAAAGCAGACCTTTATACAGTGATGCATTATTAATAAAGACAATAAGTGTTTAAAGTTGATTCTGCTGGTATAACACAGCACTACAGGCGCCCCCTTCTGGATTGGGTTGAATTGCCTGTATTCGTTGTAAGGCCTCATGCACCGAACCGAGATGTCCGTACCGTGATGATTCGGTACAAATACATGTATCGTTCCACCCCTACTGTTTATATATTAACAGGGATTTAGGTTAACTGTGCTATGATGGGTAGGTATTTAATATTAGTAAGGTATCTAGAGCCAATGCACTACTGTTATTTTTCCACTTATTATCGTGAATGAATATAATGAATATAATTTGTGACCATGTGGAAAGAAATGCTTTGCTTCTGGATCATACAAAATGGTAATTAATATTTATTGGCAGCAGAGACATCGGAAACAAGAGACATTGCTTGGCTTTTAGCACATCCTATTTTAATATAATTTAATGAGTTTTTGCTTGGCAGCAACAATGCAAGTTTGTTTTTTCTTTCTGAGTGTGAGAAACATCAGAAGTGCACTCAGATCATCCCACAACTAAATTTTCTGCTCTAGGTCCCTTCTTGCTGCCATGCTACCAGTCAGGCAGCCAGGCCAGCACGGCTATGTTCCACAGTGAAGAGAACGGCTCCAAAGGCATGGACCCACTCGTGCTGATCGACGCCATCGCCATCTGCATGGCCTATGAGGAGAAGGAGCTGTGCAAGATTGGGGAAGTGGCACTTGCTGTCATCTTTGATGTTGCCAGCATTATCCTGGGCTCCAAAGAAAGGGTGAGGTCTCCTCTTGATATTTTTCTTTCCATAAACTTTTTTTAGTAGACAGGTTCCACTTGAAGGGTCTTCTTTTAAAACTCGATCTGGTTCTTTCTTCAGGCGTGCCAGCTGCCGTTGTTCTCCTACATAGTGGAGCGTCTATGTGCATGCTGCTATGAGCAGGCCTGGTATGCTAAGCTGGGTGGAGTGGTGTCCATTAAGTTCCTGATGGAGAGGCTTCCTCTGATTTGGGTGTTGCAAAACCAGCTGACCTTCCTCAAAGCTCTGCTCTTTGTCATGATGGACCTCACAGGAGAGGTACAAACAATTTCTAATGTCATTTGAAATCATTGATGTTTGGGTTACTTGCATGAACTTCTGTATCCCCTAATGTCCCTCTTAGGTGTCTAACGGGGCAGTTGCCATGGCAAAGACCACACTGGAGCAGTTGTTGATGCGCTGTGCCACTCCTCTTAAGGATGAGGAGAAGACTGAGGAGCTTCTGTCTGCCCAGGATAAATCCTTCCATCTGGTGACCCATGACCTTGTACGGGAGGTCACCTCCCCCAATTCCACTGTCCGCAAGCAGGCCATGCACTCCCTGCAGGTGCTGGCTCAAGTCACAGGCAAGAGCGTCACCATCATCATGGAGCCTCACAAAGAAGTGAGTGTGATATATTTCTGTACGATTATGAGGACTATGGCAGGACTTGCTTTGCTGGCTCGGTCAAATTTTTACTTGCCCTGCCAACATTTTCACTGGCCCCACTATTTAAAATGATGCATTTATATTTTTAAAAACATATTATTGCTGGAAAAAATAATTTTATGAAGTTTTCATTAATTTTATATTTCGTTTTTGTGACAACATGACAGCGACTACAAAAATCTCGATAAGAGGGAGTTGTTATGGAGAGGAATTGCAGATCAAATAGGATTCGATGTGTACCGGGGTATTTTTCATTAAGCGCCATCTAATGTCAGGGAGTGAATTTGCATGTTCATTCAGCACATCGGCAGTGAAAATCGCTTGGGTATGAACAAACAAGACGCGTCGAAAAACGCTGGCGATAAGCGCGCGCGATAATCTTCCCGGTGTGCACGAGGCTTTAGACGGTGTGGGCGTCGAGGAGAGTTGAACTCAGTTTAACTTTATGGTAATGAGCTATGACGCGGTTCGGCAGCAACCAATCTGAATGTAGAAGTCTTCCGCTTGAGAGGATTCCAGAGAATACAGTCTTGTAAACTTTGGTTCCGACCACATTAGTTCCCAAGCAAAATTTTAATAGAGGTTGATCTTTGCTGTGGCGGGTTTCCCAATAATTTACGACGTGAATTGTTGTGAATTTGATAAGAAGGCGCGCAACACTATTTATAAGAAACATTTTTGCGCTAGAACGCTTGTTTTTCAGCGAGAATGCAATTCATTTGCTCAAACGCACAGCTAGCCTGCTAAATATTATGTTAATGAGGTACTTAAATCAGCAGAATTCATGGTCACAATATTTCACACAAAAGCAATTGTTTATTTTACAACACACTTATATTTTGTAAGTTTAGATAATGCTACACTGGCCAAGTGACCATCCCATCAACCCTCTCAACATGAGCCCAGGGCTATCACACAATTCTTATTGTTAACTCTTGCAAGGAAGGAACATTAGGTCGGTCAGCTTCCTTCCTCTATTTAGGGAAAGTTTAAAACTCTCCTTATTCCACCAGGTGCTGCAAGACATGGTTCCTCCAAAGAAACACCTGCTGCGGCATCAGCCTGCCAATGCTCAGATTGGCCTGATGGAGGGCAACACCTTCTGCACCACTCTACAGCCCCGCCTCTTCACCATGGACCTCAACGTGGTGGAACACAAAGTCTTTTACACAGAGGTCAGTTTGAAACTGTCTGCTTTTAAGTGGGTTACTGTATATGAAATCACCAGTGTGTTGATGCTCTGTGTACTTCCTCTCTGAGCTCCAGTGTCTCTGATTTGACACAGTTGCTGAACCTGTGTGAAGCTGAGGATGCTGCTTTGATGAAGCTGCCCTGTTATAAAAGCCTTCCTTCACTGGTGCCGCTGCGCATTGCTGCTCTCAGTATGTGCTACTTTTTATTCATACATATACAAGAAACTATATATAGGTTATCTTCCAAAACCTAGTGAGCTGCCTGGCTGATTCAGAATCAGAATGAGCTTTATTGCCAGGTATGTTTACACATACGAGGAATTTTTTTTCGTGACAGACGCTTCCACAGTGTAACAGAATGACAGTGACAGAACAAAAAAACACAGATAATAAAAAATAAAAATAAATAAAAAATACAACAAGTAAAATAAGGAATAAAAAATATACAAATCGACAATCGACAATTGTATGTCCAGGTATAGAACAATAGACAGTTGTATGTACAGGTATATTATGTGCAAATTGAAATGTAGACTGAGTATGTGTGTTAGATAAATAAGTGTATGAGTGAATAAATAGTGTGTGCAGCAATTCGTCTCTGGTGAAACTGATTGCAGGGATATAACTAAAGACAGGACAAACTAACAAAAACAACTGCGGAGCACGCCACGGAGGCAGCCATCAGCGTCGGCGCCATCGTGATTTCTGCCTACATAGGCATCCGCCTTCTAAGGCAGCATGCAAACCGAAATGGATCCTGATGAGCGATTGATTTTGGAAGACTTTACACAGGCAGCAACTTTACACAGGCAGTTATGTCATACAAATAAACCTCCACACACAGTGTACAGGAGGTTTGGCTCTCTGTTGATTGCAAGTTTAGCCCTTTTCGCACCGGAGGAACATTTTCATAGTTCCTAGAACTATTGGCGGAAGTACCCGGATGCTCATGCGTTTGCACTGCAGGAACTAGGAACCATTTTAGTTCTAGGAACTCCTTTTTACGGGAACTAAATTAGCTCCTACTTCAGAGTAGGGTCTAAACCCGCGCTATAGGAACTACCAGTGACGTAAGTGTACGATGATTGGCCGAACGCATGTGGGAAAACGCCAGCACCCGCCATTTTTAAAAAGCCGGATAAACACACAACAGTTTATAATTCGTGGAGCAGTTTACAGTAGGCTACAAGATTGAAAACCGTGATAAATGGACCGACGCCGAAGTGCAAGCAGTTCTAAACATTTATGCTCTTTTCTCAGACTCGATCATATGTAGAAATGCAAGTTGCCCTAGTAGATTTCGTCTCTTAGTCCTCTGATTTGCTCTTGCTATCGCATAACTTCTATCTCCATTATCACGAAACCCAGTATATACAGTGGGTACGGAAAGTATTCAGACCCCCTTAAATTTTTCACTCTTTGTTATATTGCAGCCATTTGCTAAAATCATTTAAGTTAATTTTTTTCCTCATTATAATGACGTTGCTGTGCGCCGGCTTACGTCACTTCTGAGTTTCTGTTGGCGGTGCGAATGCAACCAGGAAGACCTAAAGTTCCCAGGGAACTACCCGACCGGCTAGTTCCTATAACTTAGTTCCTAGAACTATGCGGTGCGAAAGGGTCTTTTGTTGTTAGCATGGTGCTACGGTAAAGTTGTCCTTGTGTAATTAGATTTAAGTTGTTTTAATAATACTTTTTGTGCACTTGCAAAAGTTCAAAAGTTAATGCGTTCCGTTCAAAAGTTTGAAAAAAGTGTCATGCTCAACAAGGCTGTATTAATTTGATTTAAAAATACAGGAAAAATATCTTGAGAAATATTATTACAAATTGGAATAGCTGTTTCTTATTTAAAAAAAAAGTTTTTTATGTCTGTGATGGCAAAGATGAATTTTCAGCAGCTGTTACTCCAGTCTTCAGTATCACATGTTTTCTTATTCTAGTATACCGATTTGGTCCTCAAGAAATGTTTCTTATCATCATGGTTGAAAACGGTTGTGCTGCTTTATATTGCAATGAACAATTTTCTCTGTCTGCAGTTTGGAACAGCCTTTGTGTTTGTAGTGTGCCTGTGATGCCTAAACATGCTGCCTGCATAGACAGCTCACTAGGTTTTGGAACAGTGACCTAGTATTTGACACTGTCAAATGCTAATAAATGCAAATGTTTTGGTGTGCCACGTAACTGAAAAACAATAATAAATGTGCACTGTATATTAAATGTCAGTCTTAATGATTTTTCTGTTGAACCCTCCCGTGTGTGTCTGTTCAGATGCCCTGGCAGCCTGTAACTATCTTCCCCAGTCCCGAGAGAAGATCATTGCTGCCCTCTTCAAGGCCCTCAACTCTACTAACAGTGAGCTCCAGGAGGCCGGAGAGGCCTGCATGAGAAAGGTCAGCCCTCTTCCTCCACAAGCCTCATTTCCTTTCTCCTATCTCTGTCTCTTCCGCACTCTCTTCCTCTGCCCTGCTGCCTCTAATGAGTCCTGCCTGAAAAGATCAATACAGGATGGAGTGAAGCAGGCTGAGAGGAAAATGAATTTGGCCGTGATGCATCATCTCATTGCAGAAGGCTGGCGTGGCCTTTCTTATTGCGCTGGTTTTAGAGTTTTTCTGCTCCTGTGAATTGACAGGACAGTAGCTAAAAAATAGGGTTTTAAGATGCCATTATCTTGTAGTCTTCCTTGTAGGGCATGTAAAAGCAGCTGTCTCTATTAAGCACTCATGGGCTGTTTAATGGCCCTATATATGCTTTGAAGTCTGAGTGTGTATTCATGTTCCTATGTGTTTCACAGTTCTTAGAGGGGGCTACTATCGAGGTGGATCAGATCCATACACACATGCGGCCCTTGCTGATGATGCTTGGAGACTATCGCAGTCTGACACTCAATGTGGTCAACAGACTGACATCAGTCACTCGTCTCTTCCCCAACTCCTTCAATGACAAATTCTGTGACCAAATGATGGTAAGTGAACACTGTAAAACAGTTTAATGCATATATATATATATTTAAACAGTCAAGAACACAGACTCAATGTTTCTTCTGCTCTTGCACAGGGTGTCTGCGGGGTCCTAAAAAGTATTAAAAGTTGATAAATCAATTTAGAGAAAATTAAGGCCCATAAAAAGTATTAAAAAGTCTTAAAGGGGTCATATGATGCTTTTTTAAAGATCATTATTTTGTGTATTTGGTGTAACAGAATATGCTGACATGCTTTAATGTTCAAAAAACACATTATTTTTCAAATACTGTACATTATTGTAGGTCCTCTATGCCCCGCCTCTCTCAAACGCTTCGTTTTCTACAAAGCCCCCTCCTT